GGGGTCCCCCCTAACAGTCCTACCAGACCATTGATCCGAGCACTGGCCCGTTAGGGTAGGCAAGGGGGGGAGCGAGCAAGCGCCCCCCCCCTCCCTGTGCCTTACCAGGCCAAGTGCCCTCGGCATTGGGAGGGTGTCCTCGTGCCAATGGGGACAAGGGCCTCTTCCTCACAACCCTGACCCGGTGGTTGAGGGGGTCTGCGGGTAAGGGGGCTTATTTGCATCGGGGTACCCCTTTAAATAAGGGGCACCCAGATGCCGCCCTCCCCCCTTGTGAATGAGTAAGGTGTACTTGTACCCCTACCCATTCACTAAAGGGTTAAATCAAATAGTTAGTAAAAAGCCCAGACTTTTAGATAAAATCCTTTAATTGAAAAAAAACAAAGACTCAATTTTTGACTATTCCTTTTAATAAAAAAAAAAATGGCTCTATCGATGTAATCCAGCGTCAATCACAATGCACGACCCCCGCCGAAATAAAAAAAAGTCCCGCCGCACGACGACCACCCGAACCCGACGAAAACTCATATGTTTTCATATGAAAACATATGAAAAGCATTATGACACCTCGGCTCACAGACCCGTATAACATTCGGAAACTCACGAATAGCACTTGGGAGTTTCCGAATGCTATGTAGTATTTGATGGCTGAGAATGTCAAATGGGCGGAGCGAGCCGTGACATTCGGGCTGAATCTGTTGACATTCGGGCTGAATGTCATTTTGCGGCGAGTTTTCGTCGGGTTCAGGTGATCGTCGTGCGACGAGACTTTTTTAACTTCGGCGGGTGTCGAGCATCGTGATTGACGCTGGATTACATAGATGGAGACATTTTTTTAAAATTATTATTAAAGGAATAGTCAAAAATGGAGTCTTTTTTTCAATTAAAGGATTTCATCTAAAAGTCTGGGCTTTTTACTAATTATTTGATTTAACCCTTTAGTGAATGGGCCAGTGCTCGGATCAAGGGTCTGGAAGGACCCCACGTCCCCCCGTTTTTGGGGCTGGGGTTCCCCCTTAAAATTCCTACCAGAACCCCACGCACTTTTTTTGTTTTAACTTGGGGGATTTTCATCTTCTGCAGACTGTAAAAAAAAAAACATTTTTTTTCTAATGTCACTTTGCTGCTAACGAAATTTCGTCCAATAAACAAAATTTCGACTGGACTACCGCTAATGAATTTCGGGAAATCGGGAATTCGGAGTCGTTTGCATTCGTTATAGCTGTAATTCAGAATTCGGATGCATCCGAATCTCCGAAAATTTGTCCGAATTTCGATTCGGAACGAAACGAATCGCACATGTCTAATGAGGACTCACTGCCATTGCTCAAGAGAATTTCGTCAGAGAGGAGGTAAAATGCTGGAGCAGGTAGCCACTGTACTATGGGCATAAGTAAGCATCTGGGAACAGGGGAGGGAGTTACTGCATATTATCTTAAGGAATGAAGGAGATGTGTTAGTGTTCGTTTATATAACGGTACCCATGTCTTTTTAAACCCCATTACTAAACGTTATATGATAAAACAATACAGTATGTGTCCCCTACAAACATTCAAGTTATTAGTTCACGTGCATGTGCTTTTGTGTACTTTACTGTACAGTACTGTATTTCAAGCCCAGGAGATGTCCAGAAGCAAGCGTTAAAGCAGCAGTGATGTAGCTGGGTACCCAGGCTAACTTTGTTGGACTTACGAACAAAATGGACTTACGAATGCACTCTCGGAATGGAACTGTTCATATGTAGGGGGCTTTCTGTATTTTAAAACAATGATGGATCTACATTTTCTTTCTTTCAGGCTATATGCTCACCTGTAGCATTCAAATGCCTCCCATTGCGTAGTATTTCTTACACACTTTACTAAGAGTTTAAAAAGCCCCTTACAAACAGCCGTGATTATCACAGATATCCACAAGCTCCAAGAATTCAGTAGCGCCTGAGTACCAGGAATCTTTGTATGCCCCGCCTTCCCGACATGACTGTTTGTAAGGGGCTTTTTAAACTCTTTTAATATAGTGTGTAAGAAATACTACACAATGGGAAGCATTTATTTTTCTTTGAGCACATATTGAGGGAAAGTAAAACATGACGGAGACAGAGTGGAGTTGCCTGGCTCTCTGGGATACAGTGGGGGAAAAAATTAATCGAGAAGCATATATCTGAGGATTTATTGCGCATATGGCTTATCCCATGTAGGGTAGCCCCATATATCTGGAATCTCTTGGGATTAAGAGCACGGTGGTGAGGATTGGCAAGGATAATTTTGAATCCAGAAGCCACCTTTTGCACTGAAACTTTGCTGCAATATAAGAATAACTATAGGACATTTGCACTTCCCATTGGCGGACTGTTTGAGTCAACACTCACATGTTGTATAGTGTGTCACATTGCATGCAATCTAATCCATTCTATTTATATAATGCGAGGAAGGTATTGTGGGTATTTTTAGTGGCACATATATCTATTGGTTCATATATCACACACTTAGTGGATTTTAATGTATTTTATTGTATGTAAGCGCGGTGCAGGTTTGATACTAAATCTAAGTAGAGTGTTAATAGAGTGTCAATAATCTTCATCTGGCTGCGTTCTGACATATGAACAGTATATGTCCATCTATATAATTATACCATTTTCCTCCATGAATAGAGTGTCAGTGTATACAGCACTTGGTTTACTCTGAAATAATTTGCCCTAATTCTAAGAATTACTTTGAAATTCTTTGCACAGACATCAACAAGATCATGAGGTGTAAATTCCTGTCAGCAAGCCAAGAAAACCACAACGTAGATAACAAAACTTATAGCACCACTTCTCTTGCCATCCCTGCCGTGGCTATAGCACATGACAGAATAACACACTCGTCCTTGGTCTTACAATTCAAACACAACCAGAAAAGTCATAATAAAGTCAGAAGTCTTTATGTGCATGCTTGTTCCAGGTGAAGACTATTACTAAATAAGGGTTTGTATAAGAGCGAGGCATTTTTAATTGAAGGGGTCAGAGATTAAAGTTTCTATACTCCTCTTATAACAGGTCTACTCTAAAGGCAAGCCAGTTTTCAAAATACTTAATTTTCCTTCAGTTCCCACCCCCGTGAGTTCAACAAACAACACCCTCCCTCTTCTCAGCTCCATTAATACCTTGATCTTACCACCGTTGCCTATTGCAATGTTTGCACCCTAAGTTCCGCCTCTTCACCCCTAATTTGCACATATGTGCCAAAGGAATGTTACATTCGCCCTGAGAAAGACAGCCTGAGTATAAGAAAATAGCATTTTGCAAATTTTTAAAGCATTCGCAAGGGTATTGTTAGCAACTTTTGAGTAAATGCTGATATTTTTGCAATTTTTTTAAAACTTTTGGATAGACTACGGAAGAGTTAAAGAGTTAGGACTATGGGGTTAGGGCTTTTCATTATAGTTCTCCTAAGGGTAACGGGAGGACACAAACTAGCGTCCTCCCGTCACCCAAAGCTCTGTATACCGCAAGCTACATCCAGTCCCTCCCCTGTCATGGCTCTCTGCAGTGACAGGATCGAGAAGTGAGCGAGCGCCGGTATGTGTTCGCTCACTTCCCGATCTACTGAGCCGACCTGTGACAGTCTCATTGTCACAGGTCGGCTAGAACTATGGGGATGAGTGAAAAGCACTCCCCTCATAGTTCTCCTTTAAAATCACACTCAGTTTCTTCCAGTTTATCCAGGTTGGGTTTTTTTTAGGTTTTTTTACAATATGTGTCCCATTGGGGAGATTCCCTTCACTTCAAGTCACATAGACACATCAGCAAGTTGTTTCTAAAAAAATATATCGCCACTTAGACAGTTGTTCCTGAAACAATTGTCTCCATTGGAAGATTTTCCCTCTATTTCTGGTACAGTGGTAACTAAAAATTTTGGATTTTCCTTCACTTTCAGTCCTGGGGCAATGGGCATCAAGGTAAATAGAGAGGATGATTCTCCCCAGTAGGGACACAAACGGCAATAACAAAAACTTGACATAACTTTTTTTCTACTTGATCTAAAAAACTTTAAAAAAACATGTTTAGATACATTTTTCAAAATGCCAAAAACCAAACTTCATGCTCTTGAAGCAGATTCCATTTTTAAAATTAAATTTCAAAATCTGCTTAATACTCTTGGACATCTCTATATAGACAGGGAGGGCGAGGGCTAATTTCAGTTGATTGCATGTGCAGTTTGCTATTGGGAGTCCTCCAATACTGAACAGATTGGATCCCACTGCGAACCTGCAAGGATGGGTCCATGGCCGTGTAGAGGTTTTAAGTAAAAACATATACAGATCTTTTAATGGCTTGCTGAACCGGTGCTTATACTGTATTATGCTTAAATACAAAGACAGAGCGCAATGCATTGCCATATTATTTATAAATGTTTATTATACTCTAATTAATTTATTACAAAATAGAACAACAAGATAACTAAGAAAGTGCTTTACTGTAGTGTAGATTCAACCAATGTGTTTGATTTGTCATTCAACATAAAAGCTTCACATTAGAACCAAATCTTAGAACAGTGAATGGACTACCAAGTGACACATAACAAATGGACAATCATTTCCACATAAATTGGAATACAATATAGACACTACTACAGTTATAAATCAGACATTGGAACACACTGAAGACATCTAATATCAGCATGCCAGTGGTAAAGCTACCATGAGGAAACATCCTCTTGTGATACATTTGTTTTCATAAAACTGGCTACTAATTGTTCTCGAATACTCTATATGAGAGAAAGAGAACTCTAAAGTTAATTTATTAAAAGACCACCCATCTCACAAACATATAAGTACTTTACAGTATTTGCACAATATCTTACATATTGTATATTTACAGGTCTAAATATTGGCATATTATATAAATCACCCCATGGGGGTTCCTATTGTAGATATTCTTGGTTGTACCAACTGGGGGAAGTAGGAGGCTCTAGGTAGATATACAGTAGAATGTGATTTTTTTCCCCCCTGCAATCCTCTAGTCAAAGTGGATTGAAAAAGGAAGATTTATGTACATAATTATTTTTTGTATCTATTACAATTGCAATGACCTTTTAAACATAGGACTCTTTAGCATACTGTATCTGATCATAGATCTCAAAAATAGGTTGACTGCATCGCCGACTTAAACATTCATGTCTATTTCTGTGGCAGGACTCTGACTTAGTCCTGACGAGGTCTGATTTTGTTTTCTTAGACTGGCAGTTTGGTTGTGTTAGCCCACAGGGGTTTGGCATTTGGTCGTCAGTCAATGAGCTGGGTTCATGATGAGCACTACAAGACTGTGCAGAAGAGTCATTTACTAACTGGGTAGTTGAACAGGTACTGTTTGATACACTGGCTCTCGGGGTCATGCTTTTGTAAGAAGATGCATTTTTATTGATGGCCTCTTCATAGGATGGAGGTTTGCCAGGGTTTCTTTGGTCTACCATTCGGAAAACCTCATCAACAGATATTCTTCGTGCGGATTGTGGTCTTAGCCTTACCACTTGTGGCTGTTGGAAAGCTGTGTCCCGTGTACCTTCTAACTCTCGCTCACTTTTTTTATGGCCACTCCTGATTAACTCGTTTTGTGGAATGTCTCCTCTGTTAACATCAGGACCCCAGCTCTGTGTCTTGGTTATCACTTTTTTGTTGTTTACATAGCAGAATGAATTTGAATGCTTTTTTAATTCTGTACCAGCTTTGATAGTGTCACTTAAATCTTTATTTTTCATACAGAATGATTTATGCCTCACCAAGTCATTTTTGTGTGGACTTAGAGGGGATACCATTGGAGAGCTGGTAAAGACCGAGCAGTCTGAATAAGAGCTGTCAATAGAACAGTTGGAGGATGCAGTTGATGAAAGGTGGTCTGCTGTATCTGAAGTATAGCTGGTAAAAATTCTTAAATCTTTTGGCATATTTTTCCTATATAAAGCTCTACCACAATATTTCTCAGGAGTATGAGTGGACAGTTCTACATCACTAAATGTTTGTTTCCTAACTGTAACATCATCATGGCTTCTTGTCAGCTTCTTCCCTGCTATTGTTATGTCATCCTGGGAGGGAAAAATGTACGGCTCTGAACATCTTCTGTCCATGCTGGCCTCACATTTAATCTGATCTAAAGTAGAATCCAGAAGATTTAAAACTCGGTCTTCTGCGCTCTTCTCACGAAGAGCCCTGTTTTGGCCCCGCTGCTCATTGAGGTGTCTTGTGAGTGTACTGGCGTGGCAGTCGTGATCTGGATCAGTGCTGTCATAGGCAGAGTCATTCTGATGAGATGAAAGTTCTGGAAAAGACATAATATAAATTAGTTTCTTGACCTGAAAGAGTCACATACTGTAACTGAATAATAAAGATATGGTATTTTTCTCTTTTGGCAAATATATTTTTTTGTCCTGTATGTCACAATTCATATTCAAACATAAAATGCCAGAGTGAAAGTTGTGCTTAGATTGTTGAACCTAACCTAAGTGAATTTATAATATGAATATTATGCCTGTTTTAAGTGTGATTGGTACTGTACATGAATACAGAGAGATTGTTATAAAGTTTTTTCAGCTATTGCCTGCATTAAAGTGACGCTTAGTTAAATCATGAAAAAAATGAAAATGAAAATGTATCTTATTTGTGTATCACTCGACTGTAAATCCTCCAATCATCTCTGACATTGTCCTTCCTTCTGGAGGTGGCTACTTTTGTTTCCCATGGTCGCGGTGTGTGGCTACTTTAAAACACACACATGGACTATGGGGAACAAAAGTAGCCACCTCCGGAAGGAAGGACAGTGTCAGCACCAATTTAAAGATGATTTGAGGATCTACAGCTGAGTGATACACAAATAAGCGACATTTCTGTTAATAGTTAGGGCACTTAAATGCATTTTTAAGTTTTTTTTTAAAGTTTTAACTCCTGGGATTAGTGCCACTTTAACATTTTACCTTTAACTGACACGCAACAATGGTTCTATTTTTACCCTGCAAGCAATCTGAGTATATGTAAGCAACATTGGTTGGTATTCAGCAGGGTTGCCAAAGCAAGTATTTAACTGTTAAATTGCACATGGTTAGACACTGATTAAATATTGGGAATTACTAAATAAAGCCAGAGAATCTCTGTTAATTAATTACAGGATAACGTGTGATATTTTTCCTTTGTCCAAGTCATTAATTCTTCAATTAACATAATAAGGGTAGTACTGGATAGAAAGATGCACGATTTCTGTGGAAGCTTTATTTCAAAATAAATTTCTGCACCCTGCATAATGCAGTTCTAATTCTACTAAAGGTCCCCCAGTTGTCTTACCTGTAGTATCAATATTTTCTAAGGAATCCTCTTCAGAAACACAGTGTAATTGTAATATGTGGTCCCCAAACAGTTGCAAGCAATTATCTATGAAGAACTCAACTAGTACTGTAACCTGTTAAAATAAAGGCACATAGAAGTACTGGTAAGTAAGTGTCATTGACAAGGCCAACTTATAAAGACTGTAAAGTGGTGCAAAAGTAGATGTGTTGTAAACAGAAAACAGACAAATATGGCAAAATTAAAAAAGCATTCTGTCTGCTAAGGGTAATAGTACAGCGCTGTTTGAAGTTCTTGGGGGATTTTACAGTCTATCCATAAAAGAGTAAAGCTGAAATTACCTTGCTTTGTTTGATTTGGCTGTCATGTAATTGCTTTTCAACACTTTTCACTACTGCATCATCATCACTGCAAAATTATTTTACAAAACCAGCTACTAAACATGTAAAAATAACTGTTCACCTGTTTTCACCCCTAAAATGTCAGCTGTTTTCATCCACTCAACAATCAGTGGATGTAAGCTACATCCAATATCAATGCTGCTCACTTACAAATGGGAGAAGTGCAAATTATTACATTTCTTTTTATCAAAAAAAGAAGACAAAACAACGGTTTATTCCCCCGGATACTAAGAGATACCACCAGGAATTTCATCTGAGAAACTGATGGCTGGAGGCTTGTAAGTCTCACCATGTTTATACCAGCCCACGAACCCTTTGATACCTGTTGTATGCTAAGATAAGGCATAAGTTGTATGCGAAGTAAGATAAGGCCCTAAAAACTGATCCACCCAAAAAAAGCACCTCTCTGGTGATAACAGGCAATAGACTCTTCTAGAGTATGGTAGATTCCCACTATCCAGTTTCTATGGTTTGACTGGTTTAAAGTGCTGTATTCATTCAATGGGAGCTATAGCAGTTAAAATGAAACCTTAGTTCTTACTGCGGAATGAAACTGTTAACCAGTCAGAATATGGGAACTGGTCTAAAGTAATGGACCATAATGTTACAATTTAGTGCTATAAAGGAGAATCTCAGTGGAAAATTATTAGAAATCAATTATTTCTCTGGTAGCAGGTAACAACTTGAATTCTTCCCCATGGGAGTCAGGTAAGTTGCACATCCCCTCCCCCCCTCTATAATACATGAACTTCCTTCTTTTTAGAATCCTACTCTTAGAACACCACCTGTTTCTGAAAGGGATATGTGCTAGTATAAACATGCCATTGAGCCTCCATGGCCCTTTAGTCAATATACCTGGTATGCTTAGATGGCGTCTCTTTGGCAGTGAGGCAACCTTCTTTTTTTTGTAATTGACAAAACAGTTTAGGCTCAGTGATTTCATCATTTCTTGATGAAGTTATAAAGAGAAGCACACAACCTTTACTATAGTCGTGATAATTTTTCTTTTGACATATGTGCATTTTTTTTTCTAACAAAAGGCTTCTAAATGGCTTACCTTTTCATTAATCTCTTTCTGAGTTTCGAGTGGAAGGTCCTTATCAACCTGTGGTACAAGCATGTTTGGGGCAATGCACACAGCCAGATTTCTGGAATCCATCTTGTTAACATTTGAGGCACTGCTAATGTGATGGAGAACGCACATCAGATGTTGTAATAAGATGTGGTTTGGTTTTGGCAGTTTGTCTGCAACACTAAAGGGAAAAACAGAAATGGATGAGAATTTTTGCAATCTCATTTGAAACCATTATGAAAACTTTAATAGGCACCGAAACAGAGACTTCCTTCTGAAAGAGGAACTAGACTTCATTTAAAGAAAACAAAAATTCCCATTCAGAAATACCCTACAGGCAGAAAGTTTAAGCTTGCCTAGTTAAGAGGGAATAAAATTACGTTTTGTCGCCACTGAAGCATAAAGGGTGAAGAGTTTTCCAAAACATGTGCCTTGATTTTAATGCACAATATATAAAACTAGTTGTTCCTGACTTTGCTTTGATCAGTCATTCTCACAGTAAAGCTTATGATAGTGATTATAATGCTATGCAGACATTTTAAGGTTAGAAACACATTTATAAAATACGTCCCAGCTTTTTTAAATGTAACACTGAATACCCAGCATATGCAAAACCATTTTATATTTTATTAGCTGGAGGCCACTGCTTGCTAGAACTTGTAATCTACTAGACAATAGGGGAATGATAACAAGGTAAAAAATATCTAGAGGGTGAAGGACCAGTCACATGCATCTCTCTCTGATCAGATAATCTCATATTTGTGGATGCCTACACTAGGAGGTTAAGTAAGGTTCCTCTGCCACAACTGGAGGAAATATTGATTTGACAGATTGGAATACGTTGTTGAATGCTATGGCTGGCCTTGAGATAAGATAGAGCCCCCACTGCAACTGTAGTATCAGAGGGCAATTACAGTACATTGTTTCTGTATGTCTGGCTTCTTTTTAAAACAATCACTGGTCTTTGAGCATGCCAGTAGCTACATAAATGGGCAGATGACTATTCATGTTTACCATAGAGAAGGGACCAACTGCTAGATACTCCTGGTGCTGCTGACTTATCAAGGGGAAACAAAAGTGTTTGTTCTAGCTGGCAAAAGTGACAATCCCATCAGAATTTTTCGCACTGTGCACATATCTAATGGTCAAAAAATAAATAATTCATGTTTGCTTACCATTGCATCCGCTTAATTTTTTCTTCTAAGGTTGGCTGATCCAAAGCAAGCATCCACTCATTATAAAGTTCTGATGATAGCAGCTGATGAGGAATGCCACGGAGGAAATCCTGTTTGTAGAAAATATTGTATTTATTGTAGACACTACATTATTCTACAGTGGTAGTTAACAACATTGTCTTTCACTTAAAGTAGTATGATATAACATATGGGTCTACTGGGTGTGAGAAATGCAACTGTATATTTCAACAACATAGCCAGCTGCTGCTAAAATTATGCAGCAGCATTATTCATTTACCACAGTGCTGTACTTGCACCACTGTATCTCGCTAGACATAATTCCACCCAACATTATAAATACCAGTGGGTCAGTGGTCAGGCTGTAGCTTATAGGAATTGGATAGTCTACTCTATTGAAGGCATGGAGCGATCAGAAGCATATGGGGGTTTTGTAGTGAAACTCCCCTTTAATAATCAACATCCAGCTGTCCCTTAGGTAATCTGAGATAAAGCGTTGTGCACAGAAGCTGTGCTGTTGCCAATGCCATGCACTTTTATATTTCATGTATAAGAAAGCCATGGTAGTATTCATATATTACCTTAAACACAACTGCCAGCAAATGCACAGGCTTGCTTTCTAAGTCCAAGCCTCTTCCATAGTTGAGGTCTTCTTTTAACTCCTTGCGAGATTTTTCATTGGCAGCTTTACGAAAAACCCCTTCAATCAACGGACCCTGCATACGCAGTATAGTTAATATGTCCTGTAAAGATGAAATGCAATTTTTACTTAATTAACATGTATATGTTTTAGTCTACAAAAATGGGAATAAAGATGGTTTACTTACGAAGATTGCTTTAGGAAGGTTGTCCTCCTCACACACAATGGAAAGTGGTTGATTAAATAAAGGACTTGAAGGTTCCGATATTGGTGAACTTCGTCTCAAAGTAAAGGGCCAGGAGATGACAGCTTTTCTCTTCTTATTGCTCTCTGAACACATGTAAATAAATGGAAACTGAGTATGAAGGTATATGATATGTAGCAAACCTCTTTAATAATATACAGATGAACATTTCTTGTCTTGGGAAAGTCCCTTAATAAAGCTTTTCCTATGTTTGCGTTCCATATATTAATTTAACACATACAGTAAAAGCCTTCTAAGGCACGACTTTCTTTCTGACACTTTCCTCTCTTGACTTATTTGTATCTCTTTCTTGTGGCACCTTTGCACAGTCATTTTCTAACCTGAAAATTTAGTCCCCGAATAGGTCACACTTTCCTGACAACTATTTGGCTTCAAACCAAACACTTTAATGTTTGCAAAAGGACATTTCCATTACATATGCTATGTAACATGCTATTCTTTCCCACTAAAGATAGATCATCTTTGTCTACACATAATTATGTTACATTATGTATTTGCTTTTTTAACAGGTGAGCCAAAAAATATGTAAGAACATTATCATCTTATGCAAGCCTAAATAATATAAACTTATATAAGCTTACTGAAATAACACGTGTAATTTTTGTGTTTACAACTCACCAATCACATGACAGATGCTCTCCTTATGTATCATGTCTGCCAGCAGCTGGTACTTCTTTGCATCTGCCTGTTTATCAAAAATAATTAAATATTCATTTTAAAAGCCTTCAATTAACATGAAAAACCAAATAATTAGCAACAGAGCATTTTGCATTTCTGCAATAATCAACACATGCATTAAATAGGTAAATTCTGAACCAGTATAGTAACATTTTAAATGGTAAATTACATTAAACATTTTAATACAAATATACACTATTAAAATGACAACTGGAATCTTCAGTTATTACAACTATACTGTATCCACCCAATGCTACTTTCATGTTGTTTGCAACTTCGTGCATCTAACTGCATAAAGGAGAAGTAGCTGCCCTTATGCTTTCTTCAGAGGAAGCACTGATGCAAAGGTTGCTTCCTATTCTTCATTTAAACCAAATTCAAACAGAACTCTGATTGCTCACCTCTGTATGGCATTCGATTAGGCTCTCCATGTTGTTGGCAACCAGAGCTTTAGACTGTAACAGAAGGAAAACAATGAACCATATTACTTAAGCCATTAAAAAGGTGGTAAAATGGTTAGGCATATTAAATAAAGCTTTTTGCCTGCATCACAGTAACAATGAGAAATTTAACAATAAGACACAAGTCATGTATGAGTTTGCTTAAGTTTCCTAACCCTAATAAATAATTTGTTGCATACTTACAGCATTGCAGCCTGTGAGAACCTTCATTAGTAATCGTGTAAAGGGTACAGTGGTGCCCTCAATCCCACCAACTTCTCGTATCTGCCTGAAAATAGACATGGAGCTAGTTATTTTAGGGCTTTTGTTTAATGTATATGGTAAAATAATTTTATGCCATAGATGTGCTTTATACATTATAGTTCTAGATACAAGACCCATTCAATGGCCAGCTATTTGAGCAATGCATTTGAAAGTAATCCACGACTGGTCACAGTTACCCACAATCAATCTGATCAACCTCTATTTCAGCTCCTTGTATTGTGATCACCAATGCTAAAATAAGAACTTCATCAGTAATAGCTTTTTAACTTTGGATTCAGTGGAGAAAAATAGAATACCTGCCAAGTTTATACTGCTGTCTATGTTACCATTGTCAAATTTCGGCTTGTTTCTTGTCCAAGAGACATAACAGGAAGTGGGTGGAAATTTCCCCAAAGTGAGGGGAACTCCCATCTCTGACAGATCTCTGCTCTACTCCCATCCCTTTGACAGAGGTCCAATTTTGGATTTCCCTCACTTTCTATTTTGAGGACAGCGGTCACCAGAACAAATGGTGAGGATGAATTACGATTTGGGGCATAAGCAGCAATAAAACCCTGACACAAGTTCTAAACTTTCTTCACTCTATCCAGTTCTGTCCAAAACAAGAAAATATGTTCCGACAGGAAGTCCACATGAAGTACAGATGGCCATCACAAAATTGCAAAATGTAGCACAGCGATTTGCAGGACAATGAAGTGCAAATTTGTTTTACTTCTGTTATGGCAGTGAGCAAATTCCCAAATGGCACTATAAGTATTATGAGTAATCAGTACACAAGGAACAAAGGGAGTATGAAGTTACAAACTGACACATGAACAGTTGCTTCTCTCTCTTGTGGGCAAGAATGATGGCTTATACACTTTCTCCCCAGGTCTGTAACGGTTCACACAGTGCAGAAAAAGGGCGGGCCTTCAAATCACCACAGTGCCAACTATTGAATGATATTTCATTGTGCTCACAAGTGTGCCTGCAAAATAGCTTCACTAATATACCAATGTTTGTACACGGTACATATATGGGATGTTAGAGTTGGAAGACCCAGGGCTTTTATTAATGAGGAAGATAGCTGTTTCTTTGCTAATCTTCCTTAGAGTGCACAATTTGTTTGGAAGGTGTAATTGAGCTTCAGTTGTAACCATACCAAAACCTTAAAGTGACACTAAACTCAGGAGTTAAATCTCGCATTGCAAAAGAGCTTTCAAGTACCCTAATTATTAACAAAATTGTAGCTTATTTGTGTATCATTCAGCTGTAGATCCTCAAATCATCTCTGAATTGGTGCTGACACCGTCCTTCCTTCTGGAGGGTGGCTACTTTTGTTCCCCATGGTCCCTGTGCGTGTTTTAAAGTAGCCACCACTCCAAGCTCACTTCCGTGATGGACTACAATCTCACATTTATTTTACTCATTTGTATTGAGATTGTAGTCCATCACAAGAGAAAGCTTGGAGCGGTGGCTACTTTACAAGATATGCATATTGCTGCTGTCCACAAGATGTGTATATTTTTTTTATTATTCATAACTAATCTGACACAAGGGTGTTTTCTAGTTTCTGTGGCTCCGTGGCAGTTCCAGGGTCATAGACAACACAATAAAAAAAATTACCACAACGTGAAACAACATATTTGTCAAAGCTTTCTGTACAACGGAGTAGCTGTGAGTGCTATTGTAAATAGATTCAACCACATGTGTACACCCATAAAAATAACCACAATCCCGATTACAGATAAACTGTTGTTTACAGTGAATAGAACATACAGGTACAGCCTGTACTAGAACAGAAAACCTCATTTAATATAACTGTGTCGTGGACTAGATGCTAGATATGTCTGTGAAGTTTCTCATTCATCCAGGTCATGGTATCTGTAAAAAATAAATCAAGGCAATTGGACTTGCTGTATTTTTCTTGAAGATGTTTTGCTGGTTATCCGACTAGCGTTCTCAAATACAGCAAGTGCATTTGACTTGATTTATTTTTTACAGATAGATGCTAGATAGTTTTACAAGGACCCCACTGCAGTTTTATATGAATCATTCAAGCCTCAATATTTCATTATATGCAAAAAGCAGCTACATTTACCAAAATACCATCAGTGGCAACCACACCAATTAGGAAGCTTATAGAATTAATTTTAGTGGCCAGTTATATGGAGTTAGCAATACTACAATACTACATTACTCTGCACTCATACATGCTGCTCCTATCACCATGTTTTCCACATGTGCCTTATTATAAATTGGGAGCAAAATATAACATTTTGAATTAACATTTTCAGTCTCACTTGTGCCTCACGTTACAAGGAAAGGCAAAACGATTACATGCGTCTCCCATGCTGCCTGCCGGCCAACATTCATATATTGTCTATAAATATTCAGATTGAGGTTTCCTTCTATTCACTTCAAAAAACAACACAGAAATGCATTCATACTTGCCTAAAACATTTTGTATTAGCTGGAGATGAAACAGGAACCATGTGTTGAACACAGGCACATTAAGTGACTCTAGTAGTGGGGCTTCATAACTTATTATTTATATCCAATAGGGTTGCACAGATACCAAGTACCGTACTCGGTACAAGTACGAGTACATGTACCGATACTTTTGAGCTCCAAGACTACACTAGAGAAAAATTCAAAAGTTAGGAGGCAGCTGTCATTTGTAAGGAGCACACGGAGCTCCTGGGATTTGTACATCTCTGTTTTAATGTACGATTTTGTTTTTATAAATATAAATAAAGGGATGCACAGATACCAGTTTTGCGAGTACGAGTACTGGTACTTGCCGAGTACTTACAAGTACGAGTACTGATACATTTTTGTTTATTCTCATGCAACGGTTTTTCTAAAACAATACAGACTAATGATTTCAGGACAGTGGTGGAGCGCCAGAGCCAGGTCCCAGCTGCAACAGCTGCAACCCTGGTAGTTCTCATGAAAATGCCAAGTATCTGCACTGGTACTCGAAAAGTATCTGTGCATCCCTAATATCCAATAAACCTTTTAGCATATATAATAAAATCTGCATAATGCTTATTTAGTATTGTAGTCTGATAGATTCATGATGATTGCAGTTAGCAGTTGTTTTGGATAATACAAAACATTAGAAAATATGTTAAAATATAGATGATAATGATAAACTAGAGTCACATGTGCTTCATTTCATTGATATAGTTTTTACCAACAAGTGCTCAGTAATGTCCTGTCTAAACACATACCGCCCTGTCTGCATGTTGTGGAGGTTTTCTTATTTGTGTGGTTTCATTAAATGTTTGCAACAAATAAGCACTGTTTGTGGTTTTTTTTCAGTGAGGCTCAGCACCATGTACACACAGCAACAGAAAAATAAATAATAATAGTAATAATAATAATATTATAACACTTACCACACAAGCGTATCCAGCCAGAGTTCCTTCACTTCACTGGAACTGTAATGGAGAAGAGACAGTGTGCATGACAATCCAGTACCACCAAGTCAGGGTCAGGCAGTGACTAATCATTGACTCCTCCACGCTTTCCTATTTTGTGTCAGGGGCAGGTGGAAATTCACTAGTCACAGAAACAGGAAGAAGCGTCATCATGGGTTGCTCTGTAAAATTTAGTGCTCTGAAAACACGCCTGCTTCCTTTTGCCGAATACAGAGGAGCATTGGTTTCAATGGTTCCTCTAATGGAAATCATGACACCTTTTAGGTATTTCTACCCATCACGTCACAGGTTTTTTTCAGCCGTCACCTAAACCAGTAGATTTAAAAACACTGTGTACGCACACAGCTTTCTCGACTGCCAAAGTCAGTTTTAATCACATTTGAGCCTCTGGATATAGATCATTTCAAATCTTTTAACTAATATTACTACGGTTTTAAATATATAAGTAAGGCAATTACTAGGTTTAAGTAACATGCCCACATACTGGGGCAGTAGTTGTCAAATTACGAGTGTAGGGGCGATGAGTAAAACTGGAGTGTCCCTAACTAAATGTAATGTGTTTATAGCTAGGCTGTAGCCAGCCTGAGCTTTGCTTATGTTATCTGTGTTCCTTTTGTATCTCCTAAGCCCAGTACACTGATTGCTTCTGTCTGCTGCTATTACTGGAGTGTCCTCCAGTATTCAGAGTGAGAAGCTGCAAAGTAATGGGTGATGAATATTAATTGTGCCTTGGCCAGTCACGGAGGAGTTTATGACAGTGACATGCGCTGAGGAAGAGGATAAAGATTTTGTGGAGAAGTTTGCTGTGCAGAGGGATTTTTGGTGCTGCGTCTGCTTTTCATATCCTGTACCCTGAAAACGCTCTCCCCAAAACAAATGAGCCACAAATATTGCAGAAAGAGGATTGAAGATATTGAAGTCTGTTACAGCTGGTGGCTCATTGAGTTGCTGGGTGCAACTACAGCATGGGTTACCATTACAAAGGCAGGAAAGTTCTAGGGAGCATCAACCGCAGCTCCTCACGTCACCAAAGGACCACTCATAATGTTCAGTATATGTAATGCTAGAATGGACTGTTGGAGACGGCATACATACATTATTAGAGAAATGATGGTCAGAGACTGTGGACATGCTGCAGGTGTGCTTGGAGACTAAACACATGCTGCATAAGACAGAGTGCAACAAAGAACATGTTAGATGAGGCTAGTAGAGACCACTGCTATTACCCCTTTACAAATCAATGTGGCCTTCAGGGCACAGGCTGGGCTCCAGCGAATTAAGGGCTTTTGTATACAGGCTTCAGACTCAGAAACCAGTCAAATGGTTTAAGATGCTTGAGAGATGCTTTGATATGTCTTTCAAATGGTCAAGGAGCTGCTTCTGATTTGCTTTTAGACACTTGAGTAGCTTTTGCATTAATATGGACATGTATAGGGAAGATTTTGTCAGGATGAATGTATTGTGATGTAATACTGCATTATGGCCACTAGATGGTGCATCCCTAATGATCACAATAATTGTACAATGTATTACTATTGATAAATGTAAAAATATGAGATCAACTGAGATATATTTTTATACTTTATAGCATATTCATTTACATTTTTTAACATATTCCCCATTGAAAATTGTTATTGTCTGCATTTTATTTTTAGTATCATCCACATTTTTATAGGCTCAACATAGGAATACAAATTTATTTTATTATAAGAAAACTTAATTAATAATTAAGTAAACAAATATTTTATAGTCTCTTTTAACTCATGATTGTATCCACACATCTTCTTTATTGTCTATTTAGTATATTGCACACCCATGTCCTGACGAAGTGGTCGGCAAACAGCCACAAAATGCGTTGACGGAAACTAATAACTGCTTCCAGCGACTAATAGAAACCTATGTCCTTTAAAGGCGATCCTTGTTAGCCTTTTTTTCTTCTATTGGTGCCTCTGCTGACCCCACCCTTGGTCTCCCTTGGGGCTCACACTAGTATCCACCCAAAACCAAACGCCACTTGGTCAAAGATCATCTGGATAACCCTGTTAAGCAACCACATTCTCCACAAGTCTTATACAATGGTTGCTTGAACCTAATGTGTATGGAGCAACCACCAGATGTGAGTATATATAAACTGCTTTATTATTTTCTTACAATCTACCGATCATTGTAAAAAACTAGGGATGCACCGTTGCCGATACCGAGTATGTGGGCGAGTACTCGTACTCGCCCAAATGCTCCGATACTTACCTCCGATACCTGAACTTCCCGTCAGAGTGTGATCTCCCTCTGACCGCAAGTGCTGAGAGAGATGGCTTCCTATCCAAGTAGGAAGCCGGTTGGTGGGATATGACCTGCCTCCCGGCTTCCTGGTTGGCTAGGAAGCCAGCTTCACTTGTTGCCAGGCAGCCTGGTTTCCTAATCAATCGGGAAACCGGGCAGCACACAATGACCCGCTTCCCGCTTATTGGACAGAAAACTATGATTCTCCATGAACACCTGCTCTGCCTAGTGTTCAGCTGTTTTTATTTCCCAGCACATAAAGAGTTTATATTTATTGTATAATTATTTTCTTAATACCAGCATTCCTGCTCTGTAGCATTGGTGGGGAGGGCTTTGAAGCGGATCTCCAAAAACAAGGATACTCCTCACAAAACACCACTTTAAGTGTCCAGGTAATAATGTCACTTCTCACTCATGAGGGTGCATTTAGGTTGCAAATAAGCTGATAGCACCTCTTGCACTGGCACTGGGGGTTGTTGTAGAACCCAGGGCCTGTCATCAACCACCACCAGAGTTTTAGGATAAGAACTAATTTTTTTTTCTTTTAGAGCGACTCTTCCAAAAAGCACCGTAAACTTAAGGGCTGCAGGCTGCTATAAGCGACTTATTGCAACCCTTGCATTGGGCTGGCTCAGATGCCTGCTGTGCTGGGCTGTTAGCATCTGGAGGAAGACATTACTCTTGTAAAAGTTTTTATTCTATTAAAGTGCTGAACCTGAAAAGAGCCCCCAGCTGCTGTTGTAATATAAACAATTGCAAACATTTGCCCGGGTGAACATTAGCTAACCGCACATTTGCAGTACTATAAATAATTCCTACTTCATCATCTTATAAACCAGATCATGGACAATGGTCCATGTGACTTTCTCTCCAGCATCAGGCTGATGTTTTGAAATGGGGATCCATGTTTTTTAGTCTTCCATTCTGAAGCATCCTCCAGTGCTGATGGGCACACAAACTAGTATTGGTATGACAATTGGCCACCAGGCTTGTAGGCTACTAGTGATGAGTATACGTGCCAGTTTGCCTGGTGCTTTGCTCTGTTATATACAGGCTCAATAAGTTACTATATACTGGTTCATTCATTTCTATTAGAAAATCCTTTAATCTGCTACATGAAGACAATCATTACGTATATGCCCATAAATGCCACCAAATGCACAGAAAAAAAAAACTCAGCAGGAGTATATAGAAACAGGCTAAGACACACACACAAAGTCTTTTATGTCATACCTTTTAATCTGTTTTACTAATACTTGGAATCAATGTACTAGTAACATCCAATTCTTTATTGTATGCATCACAATTACAACAGCTAAACACCCAACATATACTTCCCTATTTCTGTAAAGCCATAGTTTCAGTGAAAGCATGTGACTGGTGGGGTATATTACAATAACAAATAAGTGTTACAATTAAGGAAAATTGGTTTACTCTCATCTGTTTTTAATAAGAAGTGCCCAGGTCAACTGAGGGTTATTATAAGACTAGAGGTGTGAGAAAACACATACAGAACTTTCAATGGTCTTTTTTTCCCATCATGACAATCATAAACACAGGAACTGTACATACAGCTCAATTATAGTGTAAGTGCTATTGAAGCATTCGGCATATAAAAATTGTACCTTCTGAATCTTAATACTGTGATCCATTTTGATGGAGGCACCAATGTGGTAGTGTATTGCACAAAACCTCTTTTGGTGCAATTGGTCAGCCTTTAGTAAACTCTTTAGCTGTGGAAATGTGTTTTTAAATAAATACCCTAGCTCTTTCTATACACCGAGAATGCAAAGGGACATTCCCCCGCCGGAGCAGAGGGGGTAGAGAGGTAAGCACTGATCTTATGTATACCTTCTGTATTCCAGCCCTTAGAGAAATATGAGCAGTGCAAAGGTTGCCCCCTAAGAGGGCTAATTTTTACAATTCCTGGAGTTCCTCTTTAAGACAAAAGGGGGATGAAGTGCATGTTTTTGTTTTTTTTTGCCATGCACTTCTTCGCCAAGGGTGTTGGGGTATTCACTTTGAGTTTTGTTCCAAGGGCATTTACTGTATGCAAACGGTCATGTAAAAATAGACCGTGTTTTATCATACATTGGGGGGAAATGATCAAAGCAATTGCGACTGTTTTAGCCCCTTAGATAATTTTTTTAATGTGCAAATCTGTTTTGCCTCTCCTTTTAACATGTAATATACATGACTTCTGTTAATCACCTTTTTATTTTATTATTTCATATTATTTTTATTTTTTTTATCAATTAAAACATTTTTTCACCTAACTTTATTGCTATCACACAGGAGAAAACAATCCCCTGTGTGATAGTAATTGAAGGTGACCTCCAATACAGGAGTTCTAGTACAGAACTGTGCTGGAACTCCTGTGACAGGTGAGAGAGGAAGAGCACAGCTCTCCTCTCTCACTGTCTACACGGAGCGGCAGGGTTACTTTTAACCCTGCCGCTCTGCTCACTGCAGTGAGAGACTCGGGACTCGGCGCCGGAGGACGGAACCAGAGGAGAAAGGTAAGTGCAGGGGGGAGGGGAGGAGGCTGCACACTGTTTACATGTGATCTTCACGTGTAAACCAAAAATCGTCTGCATCACTCTACATTTAGTCCTGCTTGTACAAAGCAGGACTGAATGTAGAGAGGGCAACTTCCCCACAAGGACACCGCTGCCGCCCCTCTGTGCCCTGCTGCCCCGAGGCCGGGCCTCAGTGGCCTT